TACAAATTACACATTTGGCTAGGGGAGATTCCTGCTGTAGTGTAGAGAGAGCTTAATTAACATTGATACCAGTATCAGCATGCTTCTGAAGAACAACTGGTATTGTGTATGTATGGTCTGTGGCCCAGTGGAGAAAAATTCAATATCACATTAATATCAAACTAACATTGAATATTGTGTAAAATTGCTCAAGTTCTTGGTGACATGATCACTGTACATGTACTTATAGAAATAATGATACATGGCCAGGTTTTCTTTTCACTTGTGCTGAAGTTTTTTGTTTGCTGATATTTTTTTATTTATTTAAGGTACAATTACAACAGCCTTTATTTCATTTATTTGTCATCTTTTATTGTACAATGTCTGAAGTTCATAACAACAAAGGTCCCAATTTTATTTTATGCCCTGCAAGGCTTTATTTCAAATATTAGTTATGGGATATATGTATGGGGTGGAGTGAGGAGGAGGGGAGGGGATTTTGTGATTTAAAAATTATAATGTTTGGTGGAAGATTTGCATTTGTCTTTGATGTGGAAGCAAAGCTGAATATTTTATGTTATTGATCTTCCATGAAAAGTCAGTGTAGACTGCATATGTACACATCGTTGATTTCTATCCTGTGTCTTAAAAAGCACTAATAATTTATGCAGTTGGCATTTTATGACAGTATTATTGATTCGTGTACAAATTTTTTCATTAACTAAAGGTATCTCTTTATCTGTTACAATAATTACACACTCCTGTCTCTTAAATATTTAACCTCAGTTGATGAGAAAATATTGTCAAGAGACCAAGAATTGTAAAGAAAGTGTCTGTGTCTAGAGTCTAGACAAATTAAAATCAATGTGTGGCGTGCAGTTGGCTTGGACGGAAAATTTGTCTTTACTCCTCATATTATTGCTCTATATTTGGTCTTACATCCCTTAATTTAAAAAGTACAAAGAATGTCATTATAAGATATAGGAGAAAAGTTACAGCAAGCACATATGCCAGTACATACATAATATTATATCACTAGTGCATGTACTGTAGTCAACTCACAGGCAGGGAAGCCAGCATACGTAGTATTGTGAAAGCAAAGTATTTTTTTGTTGTCAATTCAAGAAAACAGTCCACGCTCTAGGAGGCACTACCTTTCATCAGCACACCTGAACTGAATAGAAAAGTTTGTACAATAAACATGGCTGATGTTTGTCATGGGTAACCCTAAAACCACCTTGTGTTATTTTCAGTTTTTTTATGTGTGCGCACTAATATTTGCTGTGTTGGAAAAAGCAACAAGGTGAAGACAAGATATTTACTTTTATTGCAGCACAGCAGTCAGAATAAATTAGACTTGATGTGAAACAAGTTCTAAAGTGTTGGTAGAGGGATTGGGTTTTGTTGACTTTTACTTTATTGGTTAAGTGGATTTTCTTGCCTGCAACAATCGAGAAAGATTTTGAAAATACCTGCTGCAAGAAAAAATATTTGACAGTTGTAAACAACAACAATGTGACAGGTTATGTACACTTATGCCCTGGGTATTTTATAGCACAGGTGGATTTTTCAATCATGGGCTATATGGTATTGTACATGTATGATATGNCACTTATGCCCTGGGTATTTTATAGCACAGGTGAATTTTTCAATCATGGGCTATATGGTATTGTACATGTATGATATGCTGTACATACTATTACTATATACTAGTATACCAGGTACTACATTTAGTACTGGTGCCTGTAATAGTATGGATCAGGCAACTGCATATAAGCATCATGGTTTATGTAATTGATTCTGTATTTCTCAACCTTTTATTTGAAATACTTTATTTACAAATATAGCAAATAATTTTTTCCCAATTGTCTTGCACATATTGGATTTTAGGATAGTACTCTTAATTGTCTTTGATTCAGATTGCAATACTGACCTACAGTTGAGACTAGAGGACAACATTTTAATCATTAAAAATATATCTCATTCTTTTTTTTTTTCCAGATGTGTTTACAGGTGCTAAATGTGTCAGGCAATAATTTGGACAGCATCCGTGAGCTGGAGTGTCTGAGAGAGTTGACACAAATCATGGCAAATGACAACAATTTGAATGACATGCGTGAGCTGGGGCACCTGTTGACAGCCTGGCGCAGTCTGTGGAGGCTAGAGCTGATAGGAAACCCCATGTGCCACAAGTCGAAATACAGGGACAGGGTCATTGTCATGGCTCATAGGTTAGGTAAGAAACAAGGAAACACTAGGTTAGTATATCAAGCCTGTAGCCAGAGGGGGGTTTGAACAAACCGGCCTTTTTCCCATGAAAAGGTCCATTCTGGGTAAACTTTGATCTAGGCATAGGTCCACTTTTTCGGAAAAAGAACCCCACCCCCTTTTGAAATTGCTGGCAACAGGCCTGATGATGATGATGATGATTTACCTGAAGTGAAGGCTTCAAAGTATGAGATAAAATGATACATGCATTTTTCACCAGATTTCTTTTCTTTATGCCTATAAAATTATTTACAAATTATGATTGACCTGTCTCAAAAATAAAGAAAATAATATTCTACTTTTCTCTGTGGATAATTTTTTACTTTTTTATAATTGCTTCTGACTTGCAGAGTGGTTGAGGTGATTATGAAAACAGTCCTCATTTTAGAAATTAAAATGCCTATTTGTCTGCATCTTTACTGGGATTCACTTGTGACACCAGCATCTTGTTTTACAGAGATTTTAGATGGTAAGGAAATCAGTGACAATGCAAGACAGTTCCTGGAGAATTGGCAAGCTTCAAAAGAAAAGAGGAGAGATATCCTCAGTAGGAAAAATACAGAAGATACATTAAATTTAGGTGAGAATTTGTTTTTATGACTTATGAGTCGGGAATTTCAGTATTGTGGTCAATTTGACTGATATGTAGATTGATATGTGCAAAATGTAGAAAAACAATGATGGATTCTCTAATTTTTACAATATCCCAAGTAAAATAAAGATCAAACTTCTGGATGTTGTTACAATATTTAAAATAATTTTAAAATCTGTTTGGGAGAGAGAGAGAGAGAGAGAGAGAGAGAGAGAGTGTGTGTGTGTGTGTGTGTGTGTGTGTGTGTGTGTGTGCCTGTGTTATAGAAGTCAGTCCAGACCACTATAATCATTATCCTCTACCCCCAGGTCACCTGAAGGACAAGGACCTGCCCCCTGTGGCCTTCCCCAAACATGGAGGTATCCCAGGCTACATCATGCCAGGTAAGAGTCCCCCCTCCCCTCCCCTCCCCAGTCCTGGGTCAAATACCATAGAGTACACCTGTAATATGCACTGTTTGTATAACTAGTATAAGGAAGGAGAGTAATACAGCAGTACATATGAATTATATTATAATTGTGTAATATGAGCATATTTGTTGTATGGCACACATGGGCTGCTATACAATATACATGTATGTAAATGACATAAGAATGCTCTAAT